AGATTTTAAAAAGTCCATTGGATCTACCACATAGGACATCATTATTAACATTTGAGAGAGAAATTTCAATAAGCGGTAGATAAATAGGGCTGTCAGGAATATAAATGTACTGCTACAAAGACTTCCTCCATGGTGTGTTACCAGTCCTTCATTTTACAATTGAGGCCATGAGAGCTTAAATGACTTGCCTTAAGTCACACAAAAAGTAAATAATAAAGCTCAGATTTGTACCCGGTTTTTCTGATTCCAAAGCTGGTGTACTTCTTATTACTCCATGCTGCCTCTCCTCTAGGCAAGGCAGAACAACATAGAGATTCTTTGACCTTCAGTTTGCTCAGTTTTGAAATGGTGATAACTATAACACCTATTTCATAGGACTGTTATGGAATAATGTGTATTAAATACTTTATGAACCTTAAAGTACTATGTAAATGTGAGTTATCATCATCATCATCCTCATTATTTTAGACTTAGAGCTGAAATGGATGTCAGAGAGGAAGATAAGGTTTTTTTTTGCTTCCTAACATCATAAAAATATATTTATAGCCAAAAGCTAGCATCCTACACGATGACAGTACAATAGATCCTTTCCTAGAAAATACAAGGCAAAAGCAATAATTCCTCTTCTCACTATTATTTGTCATAGTTTTAGAAATATTAGTTGAATAGAGCTTTGGCCATGGAATCTGGAAGACCAAATAAGTTGAAATCCGAACTCAGATACTTGACACTTACTAGCAGTGTGACCCTGGGCAAGTCACTTAACCCTGATTGCCTCACCAAAGGAAAAAAAAAGAAATGCTAGCAAAGCATGAAACATAAAGATGAAATTAAAGACATAAAGATAGTCAAAGAGGAGATAAAGCTATCCCTGTTTGCTAGTGACAGGATGGTTTACTTAAAAAAGAATGCTAGGAAATCAACAAAGAAAATTATTGAGATAAGAGCTTTAGCAAAGTTGTAGGCTACAAAATGAATCTACAGAAAACAATCACCACCACAACAGCATTTCTATATAATAACAAATCCAGTCATCCTGATCTCTATCTTGCCACTGGACCCAGATGGCTCCACAGGAGAGAGTGAGGTTGGTGACTTTGCACAGCCCTGCCTCACCTACATCCAATTCACTTGTAAGTCATGACATCACTTTTCTTTGAGATCAAAGGTCAAACAACAACAATAAACAATAATAACAAATAGATCTAAGAGACAATAATACAAAGGGATATTTCATTCAAAATAGTTATAACATGTGTAAAGTATTCGTTAGTCCTTTTACCAAAGCACACTCAATATTTATATAGATTCAACTACAAAATGCTCCTTAAAGAAATAAATTTAATTTAAGTAGTTGAAGGAATATTTATTGCACTTGGCTGGGCCATTTCAATATGATAAAAATCACAGTACTACCAAAGCTAATTTACAGATTTAATGCAGGTCCAAACCAAGTACCAATCACATACATTACAGAACTCAGGAAGATAATAATAAATCATTTGGAGGTACAAGAGATCTGAAATATCAAGGGAAAATAAAAGCAGTAGTAATTAAAAATATTTGGTATGAGTTAACCACCCCCCACAGAATATTAGATCAGTGCAACAGTTTCCAAAAGAGAGAATCTGAAATAATGGAACTTAATAACCCAGTGTTTTGTAAAAACAAAAAGCATAAATTACTCAGGAAACAACTTCCTATTTGATAAGAAATTCTAAGAAAGCTGTTATGTAGGCTGGCAGAAATTTTATCAATATATTGCACGATATTCCTCCCCCCCTCATTTAAATGTGTGTGTGTGTATCCCAAGTATTAAAGAATTCTGATTATTTTCTCTTCTAAATTTTTAATTAATTTATTTTGAATTATTAACAATCACTTTCATAAGCTTTTGGTTTTAAAATTTTCTCCCTCTCCCTTTCCATCTCCTTCCCCAAGACAGCATTCAATCTGATATAGGTTATACATATATATTCCTATTAAACGTATTTTCACATTAGTGATGTTATAGGTAACAGAACCAATAGGAGGCACCACCAGAAAGAGGAAACAAAACACAACAGAAGAAAAAAAAATAGCAAATAGTATGTTTCCATCTGCATTCAAACTCCATAATTCTTTCTTTGGATGTGGATAGCATTTTCTATCATGAGGCCTTTGGAGATGTCTTAGATCCTTGTGTTTCTGAGAAGGGTTAAGTCTATCAATATTAGTCATTGCACAACATGGCTGTTACTGTGTACAACGTTCTCCTGGTTCTGCTCACTTCACCCAGCATCAGTCCATACAAGTCTTTCCAGGTTTTTTTGAAGTCAGCCTGTTCATCATTTCTCATAGCACAACAGTATTCCATTACATTCATATACCACAACTTGTTCAGTCATTCTCCAATTGATGGGCATCCTCTTGCCTTTCAATTCTTTGCCACTACAAAAAGAGCTGCTATAAATATTTTTGTACATGTAGGTCCTTTTCCCATTTGTATGGTCTCTCTGGGATATAACCCTAGAAGTGCTATTGCTGGGTCAAAGATTATGTACATTTTTATAGCCCTTTGGCATAGTTCCGAATTGCTCTCCAAAATGGTTGGATAGTTTCGCAATTCTACCAACAATGCATTAGTGTTCCATGAGTTCATGATTTAGATATAAAGATACTGTAAGCAAACTGAGAGAGCAAGGAATAGTTTACCTATCAGATTTATGGAGAACAGAAGAATTCATGACCAAACTGAGGATAGAGAACATTACGAAAAGCAAAATGGATAACTTTGATTACATTAAATTGAAAACTTTTTGCACAAACAAAGCCAATACAACCAAGATTAGAAGGAAGGTAGAAAATTGGGAAAGAATTATTACAACCAGTCTCTCTGATAAGGGCCTCATTTTTAAAAAATGTAAAAATTTATAAGAATACAAGTCATTCCCCAATTGATAAATGGTCAAAGGATATGAACAGGCAGTTCTCAGATGAAGAAATTCAACCCTTCTGTAGTCATATGAAAAAATGCTCTAAATCACTATTGATTAGAGAAATCAAAACAACTCTGAGGTACCACATCGTACCTATCAGATTGGCCAGTATGACAAAACAGGAAAATGATAAATGTTGGAGAAGATGTGGGAAAATTCTGATTATTTTCTGAGCATTTATGGGCTGGAGGTTGAGAATGAAATATATATTTTTAGACAAAATGTGAATTTTTTTTGTTGCTATCTTTGTTACAAAGGAAGACCTTTTTTTGGGAGGAGGAAGAGTATTTAGGGGAATTGGTAACATGAGTACTCTTCTTTTTAAATATTTTTTCAATTACATATAAAAACAATTTTTAACATTTATTTCTTAAAATTTTGAGTTGCAAAATCTCTCCCTGTCTCCTTTCCTGTTCCCCTCATTGAGAAAGTAAGCATTTTGATATAGCTTATATATGTGCAGTCATACAAAACGTATTTCAATATTAGTTATGTTGTGAAAGAAAACACAGACCACAAAAAAACTCCAAGAAAAATAATGAAAGTTAAAAAAATATATACTTTGATCTTCATTCAGACTTCATCACTTCTTTCTGTGGAGGTGGATAGCATTTTTCATCATAAGTCCCAGGAATCAAAGAATGAGGAAAAGAACCTCTTTGTGTAGAAATATTGATAGCAGTTCTTTTCGTGTTTCCTCCAAATTAGAAACTAATGGACTGTCCTCCTGTTGTGGAATGACTAAACAAATTATCATATAAATGTGTAATGGAACATTATTATGCCATAAGAAATGATGAAATTGTTATTTTTAGGGAAAACTAAAAAGATTTCTATGAACTGGAGGAGAACAAAGTAGGTAGTCAATAAAGTACTAAGCACTTACTGTGTTTCAGGTGTAGTGCCAAGTGAGATTATGACATCAACATTCTTTGAAAGATATTAGAACTATAGTCAATGCAATGATGTACACAAGTCTGTAGGACTAAAGATGAAATATGCTATTCTTCCTCTGCCAGTGGTGATTAACTTAAATTACAGAAAAACTAAAATTTTTAAGCATGCTTAATATGGGAATTTGTTTTGCTGGACTATGCATACTTATCATGAGAAGTTTTTGTTTTGTTCTTAGATTGGGAGGGGAGAAGTAAGACCATATTTTATATATGTCTAATGGTAAATAAATAATTTTTTGAAAATAAAAAAAATTGTACACTTTTTTTTGTACTGAGGTATCAAGCCAAGTAATTCTTTCAGACGTATTCTTAAGTTGAAAGAAAATATAATGCTTTTGATTCATGTTTATTGTATGATTTAATCATTTGAAGAATAAAAGAACTGCTGACACATATTTTCTCAACTTAAAAAGTTGTTCCCTTTATTTTTTGTTCATTATTTTGGGCACGCTCCTTTCTTGACTTCTTACATACATTACATTCTTACATACTTACATTCTTACTGTTTTGTGTCTAATGACAAAATCATTAGTGCCAATCTTAATTTCTTTTCTTGGAAACCATCTATGTTATTAATGTAATTTGCTTAATCTCTTCTATCTGTGAGATCAAGAGTCACAAGATCACTACTTAAAACATTGATTGGGGTCTTTTAGGTAACAGGGGAGTAGTTCCCTGATTCTGGTCTAAGCTTATAAGTATGGATATTTCATCTGTTTTGCAAGTAGTGGTGTTTTGTTAAAAACTTTAATCAAGTTATAAATCCAGGAAAAAAGGCAAAGAGAACACAATTAAGTGCTCCATTTATATTAAAAAAAAAATCTAACTTTTTTCCCCCTTATGACTCAAAGGCTGAAAACTTTACCCCTTTCCTGTAGTGATCAGATTGAGCTGCACTATGTGTGATGATGTTTTCCCATTTGTCCATTCCAAGAGAAATGATATGTCAAGCACAGTCCACAAGTTTTGATTATGTGCTGGGATGGGGCCCTCCCTGAAGTGAAATAATTCTTTCCCCTATATTTATCGAAGAAGTATTTCACTTGTCTTCTGTGCTTTTGTGTAGGTGCTTGTAAGTGACGATTCTGATGGCAATGGCATTGTGGCCCATTTCCCTGCCCATGAAAAGCCTGTTTGCTGTATGGCTTTTAACACAAGTGGTGAGTAGATTTTCTGGCATTGCTTTGTTAGTTTCTAAAGTTGGATTAGGTAGTGTGAATGTTCTCTATCTTTAATGGAATCCTACTTCACTGTAGAATTCTGATTTAGACCACGTCAGTAAATTGCTCTCACCCAATCTAACTTATTGACACTATTTTTATGTATTGTTATTCATCACTAGGGTAAACTGTTAATTTATTGTCATTACTACATTAGATTTTTTCTAATTAGCAAGCATTTATTTTCTCTGCACTCCATTTCTCCATTGAGGGGTAGGGTGAAGTAAAGCAAAGCAAAACCCTTATAAGAAATATACGTCAACATAACACTTGTGTATCAGTCAACAAAACCATGCCTTGAAATGTTTGTCTCATTCTGCATATCGCTATTAGAAGAAGGTAGCATTTTTTATTCACAGCCGTTTGGAGTAGTGGTTGAACATTTCGTCAATTAGCATTCTTCAGTTTTTCAAAGTTGTCCATTTTTGCAATATTTTTATTCTAGTATAAATTGTTCTAACTCTGTTCTTTTCACTTTGCATTAATTACAGCATTAGTAATTCCTTCCATGGATAGCCCATAGTTTGTTCAGCCATTCCTCCATTGAAAGTTACCTCCTTAGTCCTTTGCACCAAAAAGATGCTCTAAATATTTTTGTTTATATTGGTCTTCTGTCTTTGGGGGTATAGTTCTAGTAGGATCAAAATGTATGCAGTGTTTAGCAACTTCTTAGGAATTCTTTGAAATTATTTCTCAGAATAGTTCTACTTATTCACCGTTACACCAATAGTGTGTTACTGTGCCTATTTTCCTATAGACCAGCCATCATTTGTCATTGCTTTAAAAAAAATTTTTTTTTGGGTTACAAAGTCTTTGCCACTCTTATGGGTGCATGGTCGAACTTCAGAATTGCTTCATTTTCATTTCTCTAATTACTAGTGATTTGGAACATATTTTAAAATGTGGCTTTAGATAGCTTAGATTTCTTTCCTTGAGAACTGCCTTTTTATATCCTCTGACCATTAATGATATCAGAAATGTAACTCCTAGAAGAGCAAATTAGAATAAATACTTCTTCTAACTCAGAATATTTGAGAGGGGGATATAAGTTTTTAAACCTTTTAATCTCCTCTATTTCATGAATATTAATGGTATTGTGTATTTATCCAGTTGTTTGTGAACTGTTTAGCAATCAGATATAATAGAAAAATATATTAATTTATTTTTTAAAATAAGTTTTTATTGATATTTTCATATGGTAGCATGTCTGTCTCCTCCTCCAAGACCTTATGACTAATAGAGTTTTTTAAGAATGGAAAAAAAAATCATCACAACTAATTGAAATATTGAAAAAAAATTCTAAAACATGCATAATGTGTAATCACTGTGAAACTCCCATCTCCATGATGTTTTCTCATATCTTTTCCCACTTGATATTTATAATTTTGTTACATATACTTTTGTTTTTTTGTTGTATTGATCTTTACATTTACATTGTTGTAGTTACTGTGAATCTTGTTTTCTTCACTCTACTAACTTCACTCTGCATTAATTCATAAAGACCTTTCCATGCTTCTCTGTATTAATTACACATCATTTCTTATCGCACAGTAATATTCCATTACATTCATGTAACACAGTTTATCTCTTTCCCAATTGATGGACATGTACTTGGTTTCCAATTGTTAGCTATTATAAAAAAGTGTTGCTATAAATATTTTGGAGTATATTGGGACTTTTTTCTTGTTTATGACTTCTTTTGAGTGTAAGCCCAGGACTGGAGTCTTTGGTTCAAATAAAAGAATATGGATATTTTAGTCACTTTATTTGCATAATTCCAAATTGCTTTCTGTAATGGTTGCACCTTTTCACAGCTTTCACAAACAATGCATTAGTTTACCTATCTTTCCACAACCCCATCAACGGATTGTCTGTCACCATTTCTTGTTACTTTTGCCAGTTGGTAGAGTGTGAGGTGAAATGTCCGGATTGTTTTGATTTGTATTTTGCTTATTAGTAATTTGGAGAATTTTTTCATGTGATTGTAAATACTTTCCAGTTCTTTTCAGATGCATTTGTTCATATCCTTTGACCATTTATCTGTTGGGATATGGCTGTTGGTCATATATATTTTTAATTGTTTTTATATTTTGGATACCAAACCCTTATCAGAGAAATTTGATGCAAAGATTTTTCCCCCCTATTTGACCACTTCCCTTCCTATTCTAGGTGCATGAATGTTTTTTGTTCAGAAACTTTTCAGTTTCAAATAATCAAATTTAGCTATTTTATCTTTAGTAATTCTCTGTCTCTCTTGTTTGGTTAAGAATACATTTCTTCCCCCTAGCCATGAGAGGTGTATGATCTATTTTTCTTCTACTTTTAAAAAATAGTATAATGTTTAATATTAAAGTCATGTATCCATTGTCCATCCATGCATCCATAACATATCCATCCACAATCCAGACTATTATTGTAATTGTTTATTCTCAAGCGAATAAAATATTTTCTTAAATATGAGACTTAAAATTATTTCATATTCTCCATTTCATTTATATATGTAAGGAACTTGACATTTTCCATACATTCACAACTTGAATCTTTAGTTGTGATCAGATCCTTTAAAACTGATAAAAAATAAAATCCATCTATTATCTCCCCATCTTTCTAGTTGAGGAATGGTAGCAGTGCTTTATAGTACTTTGTTTAATAAGAGTCTGTTTGACTGTAACATCTTCATTAGTCATTTTTAGAGAGAGAAATATTCTAGACTGACTGACTGATGATCATCAGAATGGTATGAGTGAGTAGAACAGGTTTGACTTAATGACATCAAACATGAATTGAAATTTTATTCTGGGAAAGAAGTTACATTTCAAAGAAGTTAAATCGAACTTATGTCATGGCTTTGATAGTGATCAATGAGGCAGTTTTTGAAATTTGACAGTTTATAGTAGTCTGAATTACTGAATATTTCTGATATTCAAAGTTGTGTTTTCTCCTGCTTGGAACTCTAAGCATTATAATGAGAATGTACTCTATAACTTTGGAAATAGTTACTATCCATTCCTTATCATGTACGATTTGTTTTCTGTCAGAAAAAAAATCTTAAAATCATGATCCTGTCAGCCATCTGTTACTTACGCTTTTGACTGAAACTTAGAATAAATAACACTTGAATCTAGCACTTGACTTTATCCTTTTTTTTCCTAAACCTTCATTTCCTTGTCAAAATACTCTGTTGCTGTATTCCTCACTGCCTGTTGCAAAAAGGTCACTGCATGGGTATCATGTTTCTAGCTTTTGATTTACTGTAAGAAGATGCTAATAGAGGCCATTATTTGTCTGGTATATAACATACTGAAATCAACTTTACCCTTTTTTGGAGTTTTCTACTCTTTGGAGTAAGGCTTTCTAGTTCTCATGACTTTTTCCTTTTTTTTTTCTTTCCAGAATTAGAATTAGTTTTAGGAAATTACATTTACACACAACATACACGAATTTGGGTAAATCATTTTTTATCATATAGCTCCATTCCTGCTGATCATTGTATGTGTTTAAGCCAGATAATTCATTCTATAGTGGTTTCAGTCCATCAGAAAGCATTTATTAAGCACCTACTATGTGTCTGACATTGAGTTAATCTCTGGGAATACAAGGAAAGGCCAAAGTCTGTCCCTTCTCTCAAGGAAGTCACAGTGTGTTAAGGGGAGACAAAGTATATTTGTTTTGCAAAGCTATAGACAGGACAAACTGGAAGCAATCAACAGAGGGAAGGAATTATGATTACCCACATTCATGGAAAGACTTCATAAAGAATGTAGGATTTTAGCTGGCACTTGAAAGATGTTAGGGAAGGTAGGAAATGGAGAAGGACATGGGAAGCGTTTTAAGCATGGAGAAAAGAATATGTAGATAAAACCAATCAATCAGCATTTATTAAGTACCAGGCATTGTGCTAAGCTTGGGATACAGAAGGAGACCAAAGTCAGTCTAGGAACTTACAATCTAATCAGGGAGACAACATGAAAACAAATATATACAAAACAAGATATATACAGGATAAATAGGAAATAATTAACTTAGGGAAGCATATTAGAATTAATGGGCATTGTAGAAGGCTTCCAGTAAAAGATGGGATTTTAGTTTGAACTTAAAGGAAGCTTGAGATTTCAGTAGGCACAGCTGAGGAAAGAGAGTGTTCCAGGCATAGGGAAGAGTCAGAGAAAATTTCCAGAGTGGAGAGATGCCTTGTTTTATTTATGTATTAGTCAGGAGATCAGTTTTACTAGATCAGAAAAAGACTGGGGAATTAGGTGTAAGAAAACTGGAAAGGTCAGAGGGGTCTTTGAGTGCCAAAAGAACATTTTCTATTTGCTCCTGGAGGCAGTGGTGAGCTCCTGGTCTTTATTGAGTGAGGTGTGTGTGTGTGTGTGTGTGTGTGTGTGTGTGTGTGTGTGTGTGTGTGATTGGACCTGCAGTTTAGGAAAATCACTTTACGAGATCAATAGAAAGTGTTTTGGAGTGGGGAGAGACTTGAGGCAGGCAGACCTTGCCTGATGGAGTGTTTTGTTTGAGGAACAGCAAGGAAGCCAGTGTTACTGGAGTATGTGAGGGTGGTGCAAGATGTAAGAAGACAGGAAAGGTAGAGAGTGGAAAACTATGAAAGCTTTCAGTGCCAAACACAATTTTTATATTTGATCGTGGAGATGATAATAATAATGATAGATAACATTTATATTGCACTTTCTATGTGCTGGACACTGTGATAAACATAGCTAGTTAGTTTCTGAGACTGCATCTGAACTCAGGTCTTCATGACTTGAGGCCAGGCATTCTCCTCTGTGCCACCTAGCCAGATGATAGGGACTACTGGGGTTTATAGAGTGGGGTGGGTTGACATGGTTTGACCTGTATTTTAAGAAGATCACTTTATTGGTTGGGAAGAGAATGGACAGGAGTTAGGAGAGGTTTGTGACAGGTCGATCAGCCAGCAGGCT